AATAATCTGTTTGACTGAAGAATAATTTATTTATCTTTAAGCCTTCTTCTACATTTCATTTTATTACTTTTTATAATATGAAGGGTATAAAATACATGTCTAAACAGAAGCATCATAATGTGTCACAGACACAGCAATTTAGAAATTGAGAGGACCATCTGGATAAGATCGAAGAGAGCTGGCTTCCATATCAGATATAAGCAAGCAGTGAAATCTAGTCATATAATATCTAATGTTCTCTTGCCTTCTGTAGTTGGAAAATGTTAATATTGAAACCTCAGAAATAATTCCTCAGAAAGAGAAATGTCATGCAGAGTATTGACATTCACTGGTACAATGTTGTCACTGCTGGATGGATCACTCTTGACAGACATTATTTACTTTGTGCTTCACAATGAAATGGAGCATTTGAAACTTCTGGTATACTACATCCACTTATCTGGTTTCTTCTTCTAGTTCATGGTCTTTTCTTCAAACACAAGAAGCTTGGTATGCCTCTCAAAATAATCAGAAATCTATGTTAAAAAGGACTGCAGTTTAGAGTTATACAGAAAGAAAATGAGGAAAAAACATAACATACCAAAAAATCTGTTTTATTTCTGTGGCTTTCTAAAATACTTATCCAACAACGACAACAAATATATCAATCAGTCCTTTGATAGTGACTGAAAGATGTGGAATACTATGGCTCCATAGCTCTTTCTGTAGAAAAAAAACCAAGTGGGCCAAGCCAGACCAACTGCTACAGATACAGATCCAGCTACAAACATGACACATGCTGACAGTGTTGGGGTGAGATGTGGAAATGCAACCACCTTTTTTGCATGCTGGTTCTTGTGCAAAAGAAATGCAAATTCTCAGGCAGAAACCACAGCATTCTCTGAGTTAGCTGGTGATCTAGCTGATCAGCAGACCATGCACCCATAGACAGTCTTTGTGATTTTAATTATTGTATAAGAACATATTTATGGTTTGCTGTTTTTCCCCCAAAGCTGTTTCTGCACAAAGAGAATATGATGCTCATGCTGTCACTCCTTTTTCTCTCAGTATGATTCAGCTGAGCAGGATACATGGGATTTATCTACAGTCATGTCGCCATTAACATAATCTCAGTCAAATGAGTAGCCTTAATTTGTAAGTAGCATTAGTAACACACGCTCCCTACAGATATAACTGCTGTGCTGATCATCAAAATGTTATCTGTGTGTGAAAAAAGTATCTGGTTACAAAGCAAAGAGATAGCTTTTACATGACCTTTGTGAGCAATAGCATATCTGTCTGGAGAATGGTTTGATACCAAAAAGTATCCTGGCAAATTCTAGATCTTTGATTAAGATCAAGGTCCAAGAACCTCTGTACGGACTAAGATTTCTGTTGGTGAAATACAGGTGAGTGTTGGGAAAAGTTGAGAAATGGAGATCCAGAGCTGAGAATTTTAAGTGAAAAGTGAAAAGCAAAGTAGGTTTCTAGCCAGTAACAGTTGGTAAGTTAGTCTCAGAAATATAATTACTGAACATCCAAGTAATACAGAGTAATGATGTCTACAAACTGAACTATAAAGACAGAAGAGGAAGAGTGAAGCCTTGGTGGTTTGGTGGGTAAAGGTATCCTTTCTGTTCCTTATCCCAAACCCTGTGTCCATATAAAATATTTTCCTAAAAGAACAAAATACATTTTTTTCTCCATGGTTTTCCAAGGTTGATGTAGCCAGCTTTCCAGGGTTTCTGGTAAGTCACAGATTTGTAACCCTCTGACTGAGTAGACTGACTAGATCTAAGGGGCCAAAACTGATACTCATGGCTAGAAACGAGTATGTGGTGAAGCACAATTGTGAAGTTTTATTACTTCAGTGCAAAAGCTCTGACTGAATTTATCTAAATGTTCTGCAACTGTCATATGAATAGTGATTCTGTAGTTAACTGATTATTAAGTATGTAACTGCAAATTCAAAACCTAAATTCAATTGCTGTATTGAAATAAAGAGGAAATTTAATTTTGCATTATGAACTAGTTCAATGCAGCTTTGAATTTGGGGTTGCCTTCAATTTATTTATGATTCAGTAAGTGTATATGAACTATTTAAATACCTTTTGATTGTCAACTTGTACATATAGGCTTTGATTTCAAAGGAAGTCTGGGTTTTCCTATAACAAGAAAGGCAGGAAATACAGTTTGAATAGTAAACAAGCCGCAGTGTGATCAAAGCATTAACCATTCTCTGTGTCTCTTCAATTACCACTAATAGTTTGAGCTACTGCAGCCACAGAACAGATCATATAATTACCTGCTTTGGGAGGCACTGCCTGTATGCTACCATGTTTAAAAACACACTTATGCACACAAACACCAAAAGATGGATTTCAGAAAATATGTTAGCAATAAGATCGCTTTATTATAGTTGCAATAAACAACTGTCCACAAGTTCCAAAATGCAACAGAATTTCTTAAAAGACATGAAGTACATTCAGTGACGATCTGAGAGAGAATAAATAATTTTCAAGTGTTGGTACGCTGCCTTAAGTATCTGACTGCACAGGTGCAAAAATGGCCTGATTTCCTACAGAGTAAACCCTGACTTTACAGAAAATCAAACAAGTTGTTCTCATTCCTGTATCTTTAAAAACTTGTTTGAATCCAAAAATAGATGCAACTTTACTTGGGCTCCTGTATAACATAGTAGACTGCTGTGTCAGCTATGTAAAAAAGTGCCAGTCTATGGTAAATCTGCATTTTAACACGCTTATCATACCTAATGCACTTTTTGTTTAGTTGCAGATCGATATTATGGAGGTAGGAATGAAAGAGCTCAGTTTCATCTCATTTTAAGGTGTGCTGCTTTTCTTTACAGGTTATTCACGAAACACAGGCAGTCTGGTGCCTGAACCTAAGAACGTTATGCCTAAACTTATAGGCATTGTTTTTTGAAAGTAATATCATTGCTGTGATACTTCAGACAAAATGTAATTCTTGTTCCAAGAAGCAAAGTTAATTTATAAATTATAGCAATTATGTAGCTGCTTTCAAAATCTTTGTTGAGGGCCTCAGGCTAACCCAAAGGTGTGGATTTATAGCTTAGACTAAACTATCTTTGACCTACCAACTTCTGCCAATCTTTTTGTGCCTGATTTATTTTTTTTTTTGTGTTTACCCTACAGGGCTCTATGAAAACTATCCAACCAATGCAGAACCAGAATGAGTGGTGTCCCTCAGGGGTCCGTACTGGGACCAATCTATTTAATATCTGCAATGCTAAAGGCTTGGGGAAGAGTGGCTGGAAAGCTACCTGGCGGAAAAGGCCCTGGGGGCGTTGGTCGACAGCCAGCTGAACGTGAGCTGGCAGGGTGCCCAGGTGGCCAAGGAGGCCAATG